GCGGTGTCGATCTCCGGCTGGATGGTTTGAGCCGGGAGAGGCTCGGTTGTTGGGTATGGATCTGATTCAGGAGGCCTTGGACAAGGTCAGGATTATTCAGGATAGGCTTCATACAACTCAGTCCAGGCAAAAGAGTTATGCAGACCGCAAGGTTCAAGATATGGCTTTTATGGTCAGTGAGCGGGTATTGCTCCGAGTGTCGCCAATGAAGGGCGTGATGAGATTTGGGAAGAAGGGCAAGCTTAGCCCTAGGTTCATTGGCCTGTTTGAGATTCTTGATCGAGTGGGAGAGGTGTCTTATAGACTTGCTTTGTCGCTGAGCTTATCAGCCGTGCATCCAGTGTTTCATATGCCCTTGCTTCAGAAGTATCACGGCGATCCATCCCACGTGTTAGATTTCAGCACTGTCCAGTTGGACAAGGACTTATCTTATGAGGAGGAGCCGGTGGCTATTCTAGACCGGCAGGTTCGTCAGTTGAGATCGAAGAGTTTTCCTTCTGTTTGTGTTCAATGGAGAGGTCAACCTCTTGAGGCATCGACTTGGGAGTTCGAGTCCGATATGCGGAGCCGATATCCCCATATTTTCCCCGACTAAGGTACTTCCTACTTCTGTCCGTTCGAGGACGAACGGTTGTTTTAGAGGTGGAGAATGAGATGACCCAAAAGGTCATCACTTATTTTGCAATGAAATTCTACATTCCGAGACCTTAAAAACTTCCCTTAGCACCACCTCGATTTGCTTGCGTAGTCCGAGCGCGTAGCCGGAAAGCTTAAATGTGAAAATCTGTGAAAAATGATAAGTTTTGATTGTAAAATGAATAAATTTGACTTCGGTCAACGTTTTGGGTAAACAGACCCGGACCCGTGATTTGACGGTCCTGGAGGGTCCGTAGGAAAATATGGGACTTGGGCGTATGCCCGGAATCGGATTCCGAGGTCCCAAGCCCGAGAAATGAATTTTTTAAAGAAAATTGTTTTCTGAAATTATTTAAAAAAATTTGAAAAGAAATTTGCTTAGAACATGGTGGTATCGGGCCTGTATTTTGGTTCCGGTACCCGATACAGGTCTTATATATAATTTAAGATATTTCTACAGAATTTGGTGAAAAACGGATGTCATATGACGTGATTCGGACTTAAATCGCAAAATTGATGTTTAAAGAAGTTTTGAGAAAATTTCATTGATCTCGAGATTTAATTTGATATTCATGATGTTATTTTGATGATTTGATTACACGAATAAGTCCGTAGGATATTTTTGAGGTTTTGTGTGCGCTTGGTTTGGAGTTCCGAGGGTTCGAGTGAGTTTCGGGTAGGTTCCGGGGTGTCTTAGGCTTAAAAATTGAGCTGTTACAGGCTCAGAGAGGTGGAGGACCTCTGAACAGGCCAGTGCGGTCCGCATAATATGGACTGCTGCCGCGGAGAGGCTTGTACGGCCGCACTGTTTTGGTGCGGTCCGCGGTGAACAACAATTCAATGGTCCGACTTCGGAAGCCTATATCTTTTGATCTACAAGGAATTTCGAGATAATTCAAAAACGAAAGTTGTAGCCCTTCGTGTCTAGTTTCAAGAAAGGTAAAGAAATCACAATTTGGACACATGTAGAGAAAGTTATGACCTAAATACTAAGACCTTTCACTGCATAACACAGGAAGCTTGTGCGGTCGCAATTGATTTTGTGCGGTCTACACATGGCATCTGAGGGCAGTATATTTAGACGAGATTTTCAGTTATTTTTCATTCTTTAAGACCCCAAAAACATAAAAGGCGATTTTTCAAATAACATTTCTTCTCCAAATCAATTTTAAGTCGTTTTTAACTAGTTTTCTTCAATCATTAACATCTTTTAACATGATTTCAACTTCAAATCAATGATTTTCATGGGGTAAATTGGGTGTTTTGGGTAGAACCTAGGTTTTTCAAAAATTGGAGATTTGGACCTCGATTTGAGGTCCGATTTCAAAACAAATTACATATTTGAGCTCGTGGGGGAATGGGTAATCGGGTTTTGGTTCAAACCTCGGGTTTTGACCACGTGGGCCCGGGGGCGATTTTGACTTTTTGGGTAAAACTTTGAAAAACTCATTTTCATGCATTCAAATTGATTCATTTAGCGTTTATTGATGTAATTAAGTAACTTGTGGCTAGATACGAGCGAATTGGCGGAGGAATCAAGGGGTAAAGCTATAATTGAAACTTGAGTTGTGTTCGAGGCATGGAGGTAAGTGTTCGGTCTAACCTTAGCTTGAGGGATTAGGAGTTGGGTCCTATTTGTTAATTGCTTCTTGTTGAGTACGACGTATAGGCATGGTGACGGGTATCTATACGTTGGAGTCGTCCATGACCGTGAGTCTTAAATTGATAGTTGTTGTGTTCTTAAATGTTACTACGAATGCTTTAATTNCACCTACCACGAGATTTAATGAAATGGGAGTGGGTGGTACGCCTACCACAAGATATGAGAAATGGGATCGGGTTGCACGCCTGCAACAAGATGTAAACTGAAAGTAAAATTTGCCTTTATTTTTCTTATCCTTGTTAGAAGTTAAATTTTGGTTTCCTTATAATTCTATTGAGATTCTGCCTTATCTGTTATTCCCCGAAGTATGTTTCCCCTCCCCAGTTTTAATGGTTTGTTTCCGTCTATCTTTCCGCTGTATATATATACATAACTGCACAGGTTTATCTGGAGTCTGGTCCTAGCCTCGTCACTACCTCGCCGAGGTTACGCCAGACACTTACCAGCATATGGGGTCGGTTGTGCTGATGCTACACTCTGCACTTATGTGCAGATACAAGAGCAGCGCTTGGTCAGCAGCGGTAGGGGAGCCAACCTTCAGTCCACCGAGACACGAGGTAGCCCTGCAAGCGTCCGCATGCCCGACGTCTCTTCTATCTATTTAGATGTTCTGTTTTCCTTTGTATCCGAGATATACTATATTTCCTTTTTCAGACACTTGTATGTAGCATTCCTAGACAGTCCGTGAATGTTGTGACACCAATTTCTGGGTGGAGATATATGTTGGATTTTTATCCGTATCGGTTTTGGTATAATATTTATCTAAGCCTTCCGCTTAAATTTCATCTTTCGTCATTATTTAAATGTTGATTACGTGCTAATTTAATTGGTTAAAAAGGCTAAAATGAAAGAGGTTGAATTTTTCGCATTTCGTGGCTTGCCTAGCTTCTATGAGTAGGCGCCATCACGACTCCCAAAGGTGGGAAATCCGGGTTGTGACAAATGTTTTTGTTAGAAAAATGGTTGCTTACCATTTTTGAATCTTCTTCGTGACATCCAACCAACACAAATATGTTGTATTTAAATTTCTAGGATAGTTTTCTTGTTTCTTTCTAGCCTAGGAGGTTTGAAACCATAATATGATATTTCTATGGCTTGATAAGAAATGAAACCTAACCCAACCACAAAAGCTAACTCAAGATGTGAGGATTTCCTGAGATCATAAAAGGATACAGAACCCACTTCTTTCACCAATGGGGACACTTAACAGCTACAATCATATTAGTGGTCAGAAGTATCATCTTGGATCTATGATCTATGTTACCACAATACAGAATACAGAAGTTATATAACAGAGAACCTTTTCATCAAAGAACAAAAAACATATTGGAGTTTAGATGAAATAAAGGTGTTCTTTTTCAGAATAAATTCGCAGCTGTCATCAACACTAACCTTCTAGGTATCATTATTTTTTGGATAACTGTATTGTCCGGGCTAGCTTGCTCTCACCTCGACTAATTCCATGGGATACCTGCTACCTCCACGAGCAACAGGTACAAGTAACTTATCTACCAAAGCTTGGACAGATGAAAAAAATAACCTATTGTTTTTCTCGACTTCATGATTCTCAACCACTTTAATAATAGAACAAAATGAAAATAACCGATATTTCTTTCATCTATAGTTTGAATGAACTAATACATGAGAATAGGTGATCATGTAGAAGTGAAGACTGTCCAATTGTGTCTATCCCTCACAAAACAGTCAAGGAAATAGTTGAAACAGAATATGGTATGGCATATGGGAGTTCCACACCTTTAACCTGAGGTGGAAATACATCACATACTAAAGAACAAGATACCATCCTCCAGAAAGTACTTCCATTTCTTCTCATTAAATCAAAGTCTTGAGGTTCCAATCCTGAATTTACTCAATTGAAATGAACAAGCAGAAGTATTTCTTTTCAGCCATAGCAGAGCTTCATGGATTGTTGGTCTTGTTTCGTAGCACTCATACATGAGTATGCTACCACTCTTCACCTAGCAACAGTAACTGCACTGCAACGGTCATAAACGGAATCTACTATAATGGAAAGCTTTAATAGACCAACAGAAAGAAGCTATTCTAGCACCTTCTTTTTTCCTCTAGCTGTACCATTTGCACTACTGTACTGTAATTTTAGTCAGCTAAAAAATTTCGTGAGTTGCAGCAAAAATTTGCACAAAAATTAGCAGCAGACAGCAACTTATGTCAACTACTACACAAATGAATAACTTTGTAATGCATATAGCATTGCACAAATGATAAATCAAATTGAGTAAAATAAAAAAGAAAAGATAAAATCAACATTGCTAGTCAAACTTAAAAACCCAATTTTCTTGCCACGGATACTTCAGCAATTAACCCAAAATAACCGGGAAAGCAGTTTAAATATTTGGGATAAAAAAGAGTGTGTTAGAACTTTTGTCAACATTTTACAAAAGAATTTTATACCTCATTCTCTCATGTTCCCAATACAGTATATTGGATCCACCTGTATTGTTTCTTTTTCCTACCTTATTTTAATGCAGGGGATGTCACACATCGTATTGGGGCGGGATGGATGAAATGGAGGCTTGCTTCCGGCGTCTTGTGTGATAAAAATGTTCCACCAAGACTTAAAGGGAAGTTCTATAGAGCGGTGGTCAGACCGACTTTGTTGTATGGGACAGAGTGTTAGTCAGTCAAGAACTCCCATGTCCAGAAAATGAAGGTGACTGAGATGGGGATATTGAGATGGATGTGCGGACATACCAGGTTAGACAGAATTAGAAATGAAGTTATCAGGGACAAAATGGATGTGATCTCAGTGGAGGACAAGATGCGGGAGGTGAGGTTAAGATGGTTTGGGCATGTGAAGAGGAGAGGTACAAATGCTCCAGTGAGGAGGTGTGCGAGGTTGGCCTTGAGGGCCAACAGAGAGGTAGGGGCAAAGCCAAAAAAGTATTGGGGAGAGACGATTAGGCAAGATATGGCGTTACTCCGACTTACTGAGGACATGATCAGGAATAGGAAGGTGTGGAGGTTGAGAATTAAAGTAGAGAGTTAGGTACTCGAGTTTTGTCTTTGTTTGTTACAGCATCTTTAGTACACCACTTAGTGTCTTTCGTGTATTTTCGTCTTTCTAGACTTCTGTAATTACTTGGTGTTGCCTTTGCTTTGGTTTTCTAATTGCACTACCTAGTGTTAGTTTTGTGTTTTTGTTTGGTTTCCTGATTGGCTTGCTTGTCATTGCCCCTTCCCTTTTATCTTTCCTGAGCCGAGGGTCTACCAGAAACAGTCTCTACCTTTTTAAAGGTAGGAGGTAAAGTCTATATACACATTACCCTCCCCGGACCTCACTTGTGAGAATACACTCAGTATGTTGTTGTTGTTGTTGTATTTTAATGCAGGGAAAAAAAGTACATACATACAAAAGAGAAGCCATTTCCAATCCCATTAACTCGAGGACAGATCCTGCTTCATCTAATTGATGTTCATAAAATCATGTATATGAGATTCATATGCAATTTGCATATGTCATTCTACTCTGAAAGTGAAGTTAGTTGACAAAGGAAGCACCGCCCAGTTGCGCTTTAGCCAAGAGTAGACTTCGGTCCAACAAAGCCGGTAAAAATATCACTATAAGCGAATAACTGAGACAATACTTTACTTCAGAAGCACAAATAGTAGTTGTAAGCACGTAATTTTTGCCCAATATGAGAATTACTTCCAAAAAATTTAAAAATAAAATAATTTTTCTTGGTGTGCAATTTTTGTGATATTTTGTGTAAC